CTACATTTTTACGAAGTATAAGATATTTTTTAAATTAAGATAATAGATACTTGCCGCTTACATAAATATTTCAATAACATCTTAATAATTTTAATTTTTTGAGTTAAAAATATAAACCAAATACTCGTATCAAACTAGCTATGATTTTAAGATGGCTGACATCTTTTGAAATGGTACATATGAATATAAAACGTCCTCCGAAACCACTTCATAATCAAAACAGTTCGTAAATCGTATTCTAAATGAACATATTTTCTACACCATAACAATAAGAATAAAGGTACATAAACTTAGTAATAAAAAATAAATTACTATAAGGGTCGAGAAAATGCGATACACCTTTTTCATTTACATATTTTAACGAAAATAGACACGTTTATAGTCGAAATCGTATCATATAAAGAGCGAAGACCTGTCTCGGAGACGGGCAGATTTTATAGTGGCCCTGTAAACATGTAAATGAAGAGATACGAGGTTATGCATAAATTTTTCACAAGGACATACGTGATTCATATTGAACTGAAATAGAGTGCTAAGTTTTACACATTTATATGTAAAATAATATTGAAAAAAATCTACATTTCAATTTATCTAAACGAGTATACGAATAATTATATATTTTTATTTACTTAGTTAACCGTCGCCTGTGACTGTCCGCGCGGAATTGACAAAAAAAAACATAATAAGTAGCCTATGTGTTCTTCCAGACTATATTCTACAGCCATTCTGGAGGAACCATCTAACAAACATACATTTATCTAAACTTTCGCATTTATAATTTTAGTAAGAAGTTACATTATTTCATCGAGCATCAAAACACAACAGAAATTCTAAAAATGCGTTCGTACCCGATTCTAAGATGTAAATAATGTTACAGGCAAATTTTATACTATCATCATCATCAGCTCACTATACGTCCTCACCAAGGGACTCGGAGCCTACCCTAAGTTAAGGGTTATTAGATCATAGTCAACCACGCTGGCCAAGTGCGGGTTGGTTGACTTCACACATATCTTTGAATTTCTTCTCAGATATGTGCAGGTTGCATCACGATGTTTTCCTTCACCGTAAGAACGTCGGATAAATGTACATATGTAAATCGGAAATCGAAATACACATTGGTACATGGCGGGATTCGAACCCAGGACCTGCAGATTGCAAGTCAAGTGCTTGACCATTGAGCCAGCGACGCCCTCAAATTAAATTTTATACTATATCCTCGCATAATATTCTGAACTGTGGTTAAAATGTAGTTTAAATAAACGATATTATAACATACTATATTCAGAATATTCCGTTCCTTGCCGTACCCTCAACTCATAATACCGGTATGTCAATAAGTAGTTTAATTCCATCTACTATCTAGCATCTAAACTTATATACTAACTTTGAGACACTGAAACATTGAAATACTTAGACCTCTTCTATCACATAACGACATTCTGAACAACTAAATACATAACTGTAGAGTACCTGGAGATCTGTAACCTTGAGTAATACATGTACAGTACATGGGCAGTAACTCACACGTATAATTGCAAATATACTATTTTTAAATCGTGGGGTTCTATGGTATCTATGATTCCAAAGAGGCTGAGAAAGATGACAATGCGTATACGACTGTCGAGAGTGGAATAACACGGTTACATAACATCTATGTGTCCATCATTTTTTCAACATCAACAGAAGAAGTCAATGTTCATAAACTAAACTGCTTTTGAAATGCTTAAGGTAGGTTTCTGAGACCAAAACCTCCGTTTAAAACATATTGTTATCTCTGCTTTGTCAAAGATAATGATGACATATTAATACACAGATTTTGGTCTCGGAAACCCACAGTTAGTGACTTTGGAAGTTGTCACTAATCTTGTTTATTTATACATTTCCTTGAAGTAATAAAAAGGTGAAATATAAAAATATAAAACGATGGCCAGCAACACTTAACACCGTTAAAAAAAAGTTGCAGTACAATGACAAATGAGAGCGACACGCCCTCACAAAGACCCGACAAACATTAGTTAACGCCCGAGAATTAACATTGCTCAAACTGTTACATTTAAAGTATTAAATTCACTTTTAATTAAACCATACATTCACGAAACGGGCATGAATGAAACATATTAATTATTATTACCTTCGTCATAAACCAAATTGCATGATTTCACTGCATTTTATGATGGAGCTTAAACGTCAAGTCCACAATGAATGAGTAATCAAGCATAACTAATTAAAACAAATTAAATCTTACTAATATTATAAATGCGAATGTTTAGATGGATGGATGGATGTTTGTTAAAGGTATCTCCGTAACGGCTATAACGGATATTGATGAAATTTGGTACAGAAGTTGAACAAAGACTGGAAGAACACATAAGGCACTTAGTGTGTTTTTTTTTAATTCGACGCGGACGAAGTCACGGGCGACAACTAGTGAGTGTAAAAATTACAGTATACAATACGCGAATTGTGACCTAAAAATACCAAGATAAAAATGGAATGGCTTTGAAAAAAATCAGCTTCCAAATTATACCTCTTATTTTGTTTAAACAAAGAGCCAACTCCTGTGTAAAAATAATTTAATAAGCCGACCGTCTTACTGGCGCTCAACAACAGTATAATGAGAGGAGAAAAAACATCGCCGAATTTCACAACTTTCCGTAACTGGAGCTGACAACGTAAGTAAAAAAGTTACAATGTTCCTAAATATCTCCAAAGAGATTTCATAAATTTTAAATTTGTACTTTCGAGTTTTTATTCTCATTGCTTTGCAAATTTATAGTCTGTGTGAAGCAATTAGTACTTTGTTTCAACATCGCTTAATGCAAAATATCATTTATTGCTACAAAAAACGTGTCGAACCGTGGGTTTCTAAGACCACATATATTTAAAAGATATTGTAATCTATGTTTTGTTAATAATGACAGAAATGACGATATATTTTATACAGATTTTGATCTTAGAAACCAAACGGTAACGTTCAAGGGCTTTGACGAAATCAGATATATTTTTTGTTTCATATGTGTTTATTAAAGTAGTATTTAAGAAACAATATAATAAATACTATCACTATAAAGCAGAAAGTACGTACAAAATAACAACGTGTATTAATTCGCTTATTCTTGTAGTTTCCTATTAGCGTCCTAGATTTGTTTGAAGGGAAACAAGATTAAGGTGGGGCCTTAATTTACAACGAACACGGCCATCTAGCACGTCGCACAATTTACAAGACCTACGCAAACAACTGCGGGTACGTAGCTCAAATTAAGGTCGTTTTATCGCATCGCCACACGCTCTACAACAACCGCATATACCTCGATTTACGTGAAATCTTAAATTAAAAAAGTAAGTAAACTACGTAAACTGAAATCTAACTAAGCCCATATCATTTACTTTTAATAAGTATAATAAAACCAGATATTTGGATCTATATCTAGATTATAGGATGTCTAGCTGAAGCAAATCCAGGTATTGTAAATCACTATTTTTTTTTCTCTTGCCACAATCTTCCAGTTCAACAGTTCGATGCCCGAATATTCAAACGACCTCCTTCTACCTCCCAACATTTGATAATTTTCAGTCCCTCTCCCTGACAGTTCGAAGTGTTGCCCGTACAATTAGCGAACCCTAACATTAGGAAACCCTAACATAAGTAATATGAAGAATTATATACTTAATATAAACTCTCCTTGTATCACTCCAAAAAATAAAGACATTGTTTTGTTAAACATGTGTTTTAACCCTTTGAACGCCGGTGAAAGATATGGATGTCAAAGTCGTTATACATTTCACCATAAATATGCATCAGTCAGTTAAAAAGCGTCAATAGCCTAATGGTAAAGGGTACGGATTTCCGATCACGAGGTCGGGAGTTCGAATTCCCGGAATTCGACTATTGTCGTGAACCATATCCTAGCACAAGCCTAGAGCTTAGTTGGAATGGTAAAAGAAATATTAGTAAATTTACAAAAAAATCTGCTAATATTTTAATTAAAAAAATGTACACTACTTTCTAGATAAGTATTTTATTATTTGATAACAAAAACTCCTTTTACATACGCGTAATAATGTTTTCAATAGCCATGATTTGTCAAAAATCCGCGAGCCTTCACGGTATAAAAAGTTTGACGTATGTTTAAGCGAATATGAAACATAATCTAATTATTTTTTTTTATTATAAGGCCCTTAAATGTGTAACAAAGACCAGTTTTAGATTTCTCGTACAAAATAGAAGTGCGAAATATTTCAATTATTAAAGTAATTGGAACCCATACGTCGATTTATATCCCAACATATTGTAAAGGTCGGTAAGAAAGGAATCGTGTGCCTGGGGACCGTCCGATTCTGCGGGGAACTTATAAATATTTCATGAAAGAGGCTAGTTCTTAAAATAAGCCTATACTACGTATCGCCTCGTGATAAAGTCGCTTTTCGTATGGCTAGATTGAAATTTACTATTAATACAATTCCAACGTCCATTCATAGCAACGTATCCCACGGTTGAAGCCCTATTGTATCTCCGCATTTGAAAAATTAAACACACTGTTTAAATATGTGTTTTGTAAAAAAATATAATATGTAAGAACTAAATAAATATATAGAATATAGTTATCACCAAAGATAGTTAATTAAAAATTGTTAAATCGATCACAAATGTAGAAGAAATAAAAAGAGATTATAATTCTGTTATTTAGAAAAAAAAATCGCTAGTGACGTACAAAAACTTTGACAGGTGACAGGCGACATATGACAGTTGACAGCCCACTCTCGATGCTAGCGCCACCTACTTATAGCTAACAGTTTTTCTCCACTTTGTTCTCCACGTCGGTAGATAGTACAGGATTTTATCAGTATAGTAGAAATCCGATTTAATTTAATTGGCTACCCTTGATGTATAGAACATTTTTTCCTATTAGTCTCCTTTTCCGTCCCTTTCCATTGTTGTGTATAAGAAAAGTGTGTAAAGAGAAAGAGGACTTAGTTTTCCGGCTAATGTCACTTACCTTAATATGTGGCATGGAGAGGACGCGGCGCAGGTCGTGTGCTGCCGCAGCGGTGGGCGAGGGCGCAGCTGGCGCAGGTCGAAGGCGACCAGCCGCTTCTAGTGCCTACGTACAACCACATGGAAATCTTACTAAAGTTATAAATGTGAATGTTAAATGGATGGATGGATGTTTGTTTGAAGGTATCTCCGAAATGGCTCGACGAATTTTGATGAAATTTGGCACGCATATAGAAAATAGTCTGAAAGAACACATAGCCTACTTATTAATTCCTCGCAAATGGAGTCACGGGCAATGGCTAGTGATTTATAATTACTACAGCAAGATAGACAGACAAAAATAAAAAAAAATGCTTTTGCATTATAGGTAAAGCAAATACATAACTAAATGTGATATTTAATTTCAATATTACATACACACAAATAATACAATAAGCTAGTTATAGTCACCTGACGTGTCTTGGTCCTGGCCTCAGCGGCGGGAGCGCGGCCGCTGCTCACCACCACAGTGCACGCGATGCGATCATACACCTGTCACATACAAATTATATTATTTTACATATCTTCAACAACTAGCGGCACTTAAAAAAACATAATTAGTAAACTATGTGTTATTCCAGACTATGTTCTATATACTGAACTGATAAAAAACGGCTAAACACTCACGTATATTCGTCCGATGGCGGCACCAATATACGTGAGTGTTTAGCCGTTTTTCTATCAGTTTAGTATAATGTCTCACGAAAGTTTGAATAATTTAATATTTTCTATATGTATGCCAAATATTATTGAGATCCGTTCAGATAGGAGGAGGACAGGAGATACCTTCAAACATCCATCCATCTATACAAACATTGGCATTTATATTAGTAAAATGGTAGACGCCAATATCTGCTGCACGAATGTGCCACGCTCGATGCAATCCGACTTCATAAAAAATAGACTTCAAGTGGATAGAATAGTAGAAAGAAGTAGGGACAATCCGATAAGTGCGTGCCGAATACCTAACTTTAGTCCTCTTTCCCTACCCACCCTTTTCTTACAAGGGAGGGATGAGAAGGGGTATTGGATTCGACGGAGATGAGGACAAATGAGACCCTTTATTCTTATGTATTTTGACAGTGGTTGTTTTGCCTTTTAAGCAAATTCAGGTGTTGCCTTTATGATATTAATGCCGTTGACCAGATATACTTTGACCTATATAAGAAAGCAATACATACTTCTAGCAGAGCTCTGAGTTGCAGGTCGTCTAACACGCTGTGGAAGAGATCAGGATCCATGAAGAGAGGCCCGTCCTGCAGAACCGCCACATCATCCAGAGACTCCACCACGAGGTTCACAGCTGTAACAAAAAAAAACATACAATGTACGATACAAGTAGCATCTTTATATGTATTTTTTTAATTCAACAACGATGAAGTTATTAACAAATTATTTTCACAATTCTGTTAAAAAAATGGACACAATATTTTTTAAAATCGGCGTACGCACACTAATATATTTATTGCAATCAACCAACATTCAGTATTTTTAAAGGTAAAGGGTAGATTCGCTTTCATTCGTGGTGGGAAGATAATTAAATTCTTTGTACCTGCAGCATTGGCCTCCTCCAGCAGAACCTGTCGTCGTCCAGGTTGTTCCTCTTCATCGTCATCATCAACTGCTGCAGCGGCGAGGGTCGCGGCACGCAGACGACGACGGCTATTGAACTTCTTCAGCTCCTCCACGGTGCCCGCTAAATGAATGCGGTTCTGCTTGTCCCGATCCTATTGTTATAAACGGTGAAAATGGAAAATTAATGAATAATCTTCAAAACAAATCCATCCTTTGTATGTCTTACTTATTTAGTATCGCCCTACATAAACACGTCTGATATTAAAATATCGCATAGTTTTCAAGGTTAAAGAGGTAAAAATTTATTTTATCGTTTATAGTAAAGTTGAGTAAAACACCATCACAATTGATACAACAAAAGCTATGAACAAACTTTTAACTTTTTCCTTTGTTACTTTGTAAAATATTAATCTCTGTTTGAATGTATGGATAGATGGACATTTACAAGAAGGATAGATGTAGAAACACAGTCTGGAAGAACAAATAGGCTATCTATGATCCCAGAAACATGCACGGGTGCGATACGTTTAATTTATTTACTCGGTAATTCCGAAAGAATTCAACAGATATTATTGAAATTTGGCACAGATATAGAACATAGTCTCGAGTAACGCATAAGATATATGAACACAGACTCAGGAAAAACCTATACATTGAAAAGAGTTTTAGATATTACTAGCCGTCGCCCGCGACTCCGTCCGCGAGTTTGTCTAAAAAATAAATTTAGGGGTGGACTACCCTTAACATTTAGGGGGATGAAAAATAGATGTTAGCAAATTCTCAGACCTACTCAATATGCTCACAAAATTTCATGAAAATCGCTCAAGCCGTTTCGGAGGAGTATGGGAACGAAAATTGTGACACGAGAATTTTATATATAAGATTAATTAGAATCATTTGGCGCGAATGACGTGCTTTCGTTACAAAGTCAAGTGTCAGAATGATTAGTGAGGGGACATAAACGTCGATATTTCAGTAGGCTAGTGTTGCGCCAGTACTCCAGCACATTCGGATTATCTTTCTAACAGAAGTTACAAGACAATGTTATTAAATCCTAAGGTAAATAAGAATAATCATAGTATTTGGGTGAACCGACTCACCCGTATCCAGCGATGGTTGAGCACTTCCTGTATGTTGATGCGCTGCGTGTGGTCCACAGTCAGCATGCGCTGCACCAGCTCCTTGGCTGAGTCGCTGATGTCATCCCACAGTGGAGCATCGAACTGATACCATATCACAATAATTTACCCACTTTTAGTACTTATTAAGGGAAGGGAAAATTAAGGAAAATTTATAGAACTTTGTAGTTAAAGGAATATTTTTTACGGACAAAGCAGTCAATGGTCACAGTTATGGGGTTATTCAACAAAGAAACTAATATCAAAGTTGTTTTTTTATCACATATAGAAAGATCGTAGACAAGTTTCCATACAAAAATGTTTTTTTCTTTCGCGTTTTGATAAAATTAGTGGTTTTTAAATGCACGTATAAACTCGATGCCGAAGCCAACACTTTAAATATTTTGAGAAAAACTTTTGTAATAAAAAAAATATCGACATTTTTGGAACGATCAAACGTGGATGTGAATCTGAATAACTCTCTATTCTACGTAAGCTATCTTGTCATTAATTCTTTAGTGGTTATGATCTCAAAATTAAGCACCAGTCCTTTATTCACATAAAAAACAAACGACCCTTATTGTCCATTTTAGTTAACATAGTTGCACAAAATCAGTAGTTCCAAAACATATTTTGTCTACTGCCCACTTTGAGAATAAATATTTTTTTAGCGCCCCCATATTTTCACATATTTCAAAACCACTATAACTTCAAAATAAATTAATTAATTATTGTGACCTATATATGTATATTAACGGAGAATTCTAAAGGAAACTTTCATCAACCTGGAACTTGAGACCCGCAGCGCCCACAAGGGGGCGTTATCGCCCACTTTGAAATACTGCACAAAACCAAAATATCATTCAAAGATAACACTCACTCTAAGTCTCCCACGACAGATAGCTTCGAAGAGACGCTCTCTTGTTCCAGTGAATGGCAGATAGCCAACAAGTAACACATGCAGTAGAATCCCAGCAGCCCACACATCCACTGGCTTCCCATACAACTGACTGGATACAACCTCAGGGGCCATATAGTGCGGAGTACCGATACGACCTGTTGAATAATAATATTTTTATACTAGAATTCGACAAACGAGCGACGGCTATTTATCGCTAAAACAGCGAAGTGCATATCTGCACTTAGTTAAGATTGCTGATGCTTTACCTAAGGAGAGGATGCATAGAAAAAATAAATCCTTTTCCATACAACTTCCCTACAAATCCAGTACCCATTCTCATCATCTTACTCATATCAAATGCGAATGTTTGGATAGATGGAAGTTTGTTTGAAGATATCTCCGGCACGGTTAGATGGAGTTCTTTGAAATTTGGCATAGATGAACATAGTCTGGAAGAACACATAGACTAATTATTAAGTTTGTTTTTAATTCCGCGCGGACGTAGTCGCGGGCGACAACTATTACTTCAGAAGACAGAGATGTGAAGGGGTAGGAGTTAATGTTGCAGCACGACCAACAGAAATATAATTAATTATAAATTGCGTTTAATTAAAAAGCATAATACGTTAAAGTTTGCAGGTGTAACACGTGCTCAACGGCTTAATAACTTAACTTTTTAACTATTTATCTAAATAGCATTAGCTATTCTGACTCTATTGTTTTTAATATTTATTTTACGCTTAATTCTGTTAAAGCGGAATATACCAAACTTAACTATTATACCTATAGCTTATATTAATAATAACTGCCATATGTGCTTTATGTACTGCTTAGAAGCTTAATAAAGATATTTTAAATCAAAAAGACTGAGACATTATTTTAGATGTGACATGTACAGACGTTACTCAGTTTGTGTGAATAATTAAAAATACTATGATAAACAAGGTACTATTTCTCAATCCTAAGCGGACGGAGTCACAAGCGACAGCTAGTATATAATGCTACTTGAAAAGAATTATAAACTTGAAGATACAGATTAAAAATCTTTTTGATGTAATGAACTTTTAGTTCTGAATGAAAGAAGTCATAATGTGATACAAGTTCAATTACATTCTTATTCGTTCACATCTAAAATAATGGCCCGTCTTTTTGATATAAAATATCGAAAATACATACATTGTTATATTTTAATAAAGCCACATGCTTTTATCATCTATCCTTATTGAAAATTATTATAATGTCCGCTTAGTTTTTTTTTTTTAATTTCATTTTTTTGTTATATATTATATCAGCACACGAATATAGCTTTCATAACATTTTAGTTTAGCCTTAAAGAACATCAAAGATTTAAATTATAATTTTAATTAAAGCCAATAAGTGAGAAACTGTAAGTTAAAAGGATTAACTAACTCACACTACACCAAAATGTGTTGTCTTACTTAAGTTACTTTTTATCAACCATATAGAAACATATTGCCATCTTATTCATTCTCTTTAAAATGATAAAGATAACGATATTTAATAATACAGATGTTAAAAGACAGACAGATGGTCGTAATTAATTTTTTTTCTATAGTCAAACAAGGATATCTGGCCCGTTGTGAGAGGCGCCACTGTCGCGGATATTACTGTCAGAAAACAAATATATTGGCTGGTCGTAAAAAAATGAAAAAAAAAATACATGACAGCTACAAAACTAAAACAATCGATTACTTTTGACATTGACAGGAGGGCGCTAGTGAGCTAATATAATTTAGTTTGGCATATACCCACAGGGTCAAATAATATTGTCAATCTATATGACTTTACACTCGTTTTTTTTAATTTTAAACAAAAATAAAATTTTGTGTGAGTTAGCTCTAATTATGACAACACACATCAATTTGGATCAAATAACAAAAGGGATTAGCACTAAACAATTACAGTGTTTACAATGAACGTGTGCTGTTAGTTAATTGAACGGCAGTGTTTCGTGAACATTAACATAGTGTCCGCTGTACATGACACCTTTTAATACATTTGTGATATGAGTGATGACACATGTGCCAAGGAGATTTGCACGTAATATCCATGCAGTTAGGGCACAATTCGCATTGTCGGTAAATTTCTTACCATACTCATCTGATTTCAGATACGCTTGGCCCATAGGACCCACTAGTGGTCGATTGTCCATCACCAATTCTGTACAACACAATCCCATATCAACAACGTGACAATCACATTACATAGTAAAGTGATGCTTAAAGCATATCTTACTCAAAGATACATAAATACTTTTTATATATCAACATTAATAAAGGACCACCCCAGATGATAAATTGGTCGGCCAACTGTATATCATACACTGTTTCAAATCAAGAACAAAACATTGTGAATAAATTTGTATGTAATTTACTGACAATTTTTATTTCCAAGCATCGTTTTCATTTGGAACAATGTATAATTTAATCATGCATATGGCAACATAGAGCAGTAAGTAATGTATGTTTATTTCTCACCAGGGGGAGCGCGATGTGCGGCAGGTGCGGGCAGTTGCGCGGCCACACCGAAACCACCAAGTTTGACAGGCGCGCAGTTGTCACGGCCGGCTAACAGCACGCAATGAGGTCGCACGTCACGATGCACGATGTCATTCTCATGACAGTAGCGCAATGCTTCCAGAATCTGACGCATGTAATGGCTACAAAGAAAACATATGTGTTTACACTCACGTTTGTTACCTATACAGGTAGCCCAAGTTTAATATGCCACATTTAACATCTATCAATAGTGTCACGGTGAGGTACACTCCTCTATAAATGGACAGGCTATAAACCGTAATATTTTATGCCTATTTGATTTTCGCCATTTTGGCGCTGATAGTTGCGGTTGGTAGCGGTGGTGAGGATTCTAACTAATAATATAGATAGAAACAACTGCCAGGAACTTCAACAGGCGCGTTTTAGCGGGATTGGATCTTTTTAAGACCACTTTTTAATACAATTTGTACAAAATATAAAAATGTTGATACTTCGCAGTAGACAAAACAAATCAATTCCATTGTAAAGAGATTTCAATGTAGTTATTATTCCTGTATTACAATTGGTTTCAGAAACCTTTAACAATAACCAACATTAAATTATAATACTTTGAAGATTGTTTAAAAAAATAAACTGTCAAATATCTGTTATTTGAAATATAAAACATAAAAGTTTTGGACCAGTCTGTTTAAAAGAGCTAATTCTCTTAAGAGATGACACTTTATTCGTTGAATGTTACATGACAAAAAGTTATAAGTTTCAATTATAAGCTTACCATGCTACAGCTTCACTGTACACAAATCCGGCAGTCGCCCTGCGCACAACTTCAAAACAGAGATCAGATCCATCCATGCTGAAAATAAATAAAATTATCTATTTATTCAAGTAACTTAAAACATACAGTTAAAACTGCTTAAGCCAGAGACCAAAGGATTGTGATATTTTTCTTGCTTATAAAGGTTTCTCTTTAACCCGAGTTTATTATAAGGTTGTCCATCAGGACCAAATAACGACTATAGCTTATTCAACTTCAACTACATAACCAAATTTAAAATAAGAAGTTAATTAACAATGAAACAAAAATTATAATCACAGGTTTTTTCTACCAAAAACTATATGTTTGATATTTGTTTTTCTTCATTAATTTTGGCATTGGAAACCCACAGTAAGTAACCTAAAATTATATAACAACAGTCCGTTGAAGAACCACAAAACTTACAATACTATTTTCATTTCAATTTTCAATTTTAGTTTTCAATACATCAAGATTACACAACCCCGACTCATTGATCACAGCTATAGATTACTCATGACACAAGATTCAATCTAATATACTGGGAACAGTTCCAACAGATAACAAAAACAAATAATAAATAAAAAGACAATACTATATTTTTTTTCAAGTCATTCTATAAATAAATAATGACAGGAACAAAAATAATAACAATTATTTCTATTTAAATAATAGTACTTACTATTCAAACACCATATACAGCATTCCCTCTGAGCTGTACGTCTCCAATAGCTCCACAATATGAGGGTGCTTCAGCATATGACATATTGTAGCTTCACGTTTAAGATCTGAAAATATGAAGGTTAATTCTATAGTAATATTTTGCGGAAAGAGATTTATTAGTGAGACAATTAATCATGAACAGCCTTAAATTCTAAGCAAACTTTTAGGTTTAAAAATTATAAAACACAATACTGAAATGCCACACAATTTATAATTTTAATCATAAATTCTAACAGAAACAAAACAATTGTTTAAGAATGGGAAAGAGACATTGCAAAAATTTGATTATGATAGTGTGAAACACTGGTAAAACCAAGAAAAATATTCTAAGTCTATAAGTTGTTTATATTATTCAGTAAAAAGTAATTTTTAATGTAAATATTCATGTAAAAATTACTCACCTGCTGTACTAAGACCTGGGCTTGCAGTGAAGCGAGCTACATCAACAATCTTCACCGCAAACTGCTGTCCTGTCTGACGGTGTACACAGCGTCTTACAAGGCTGAATGGACCCCTATAAAACAGTAATTTCATACATTTGAAGCACTACATAATTGCTAAAGTCAATATGTTAGAATTAACAAGGTCAAAGTAACATGTCAGCTAAGAGTAGTCACACATTGCTCTTACTAATAGCGTGAATGTTGGATTGATAGATGGATGTTTGTTGGAAGGCATCTGCAGAATGGCTGCATAGATCTCAATGGAATGTATACCACATAGTAGAACATAATCTGGAAGAACACAGGTCCTATGATTGCGGAAATATGTATGGTTTCCATGGAGTATGCTTAATTCATATCTTTACTTGATAACTCTATATATTGTTAATGATTTTGGCACAGATATAGAACATAGTCATGAGTAACACATGTGATACTTTTTATCCATTTTATTTTAATTCTGCGCAAACATACTGGCAGCAAAAGCTATAATAAAATATCCCAATTAATATTGACATTGCTCATTTAAGATTAAATAAATTTAATGTCAATCATCTCATTCTTTTTAATTTACCAAGTAAATGTTTAGTAGGTCTTAAATAGGTCAGATAAAAGTTGTCAATTATACAGTTAAACACAAACCTAGATTTTAAGGGTGACTTTTACAGTTCGGAATTAAAATAAAAGCAGCACCAATAGGAGATGTGAAACTGTTGCAGTTATCGAGTAAATATAGAAAACAAACATATCCCACGGAAACCATTTACATGTCTGGGATGACACATATTCTGTGTTCTTCCAGACTGTATTTTACATCATTCTTAAGTTGTCTAGTAACAAACATCCATCCATACCTTTTCATTTATATTAGTACAATAAAAAGTAATTTTGTATTTTTTTAAGAATCAGGATTTAGATCATAAATAGGACAGAAAAGTAAATTAATGGCAAAAGAAAGAAATAGAAATATTCATACTTTTTAAGTTATGCATTTCTCTGAATCTAAAACAATTCTGGACATGGTTAATCGCCTAAATATATAGTTTATCCTTTTTAAATAAACTTTGTAATACATGTTACAAGGTTTGGTTAATAAAATATAAATTTAACAAATGGCATTTTACTAATAGTCAGCTTATACTATAAATGTTACAGGAACTTGATCTATAAAACAAGTTTCTCAAAGACAAAGTTTAATTTAAACATTGGTTCACATTTTTTTAAAGGAATTTTATACAAACTTGAAAAAATAATGTATACTCACTTGCCAATAATTTCACACAATTCGTAAACGTCGTCGAATAAAACTTCGTCCTCAGCCATTTTTAGAAATAACACGAACAATTTATTAGATAAAGTGATTAAATATCATTTTCAAAAAAGGTATAACTTTAGAACACGAAGGTTACGCCCCGAGAGGAAAATCCGAACTTCAAAAGGTTTAAACACTTCATAAGAATACTAAATAATACAGAAGATAAAAAAATTAGTAAGCGAATAACAAACACTACGAAAATGTGCAGTTATGCGCAATTTGTGCATATTTAAATGAAGAAAATCCGCGACAATTCGCTCATTTTTCTTTTGCTGTACAACACTTCACTATATGATCTTCAAAATAATATTTTACAATAATTCTCGTAATATACGTATGTTTCACTTCAGTTTACACGTTTACCGATAAATTGGAAATTGTAAAATAATTAATTTATTCCCTTATTTTCTATTTACTTTTGACATTTACTAGGGGTTGCAAATATTGGATTTGAAGTGAGCAGCACTTGCACTGTGTTGTCATCTCTTACTTTAGTGTTGTACAATAACTTTTTTAAGAATAGCAATAACATTTTAGAAATCTTATTCGAATATGCTCCTGTAGAAATGCTAAAATAATTTTATGAGGCACAAAGCTATATTTTACAAGGACTATTACCTATTCAGTTAACTATAAGCTAATTTATTATTGCAATTAATATCTGGTTGCAATGCAATACAGCCACATAGTCAGATATCGTTTATTTTACAGCAGTGTAAATTATTTTTGTTCTCTTGTTTGATATGCAAAATGAGAATTTGAAGTTTATAAATTGTTAGGATAAGATTAGATATTTTACTGTCTTTCTTTTTTCACCAATCTTTACTTATTAATAAAACAAAACACAATAAATTAAAAAAAAATATTTATTTCTGAATACTAGTTAAAATTTTTTAAGGTTTGACATAGCACTATTTAGTAAAATTTTCAAATGATATAAACATTTACAGTAGAAATATTTCCTACCAAAGAATCAATTCACTCTACACTAATGACATTTTTATATATCACGCCTAAAATTACGTTAAATACTTATTCTAAGGTAGTTAAATAGTAAATTACAGGCGGAAATTAACGTATCATGGATTACATCGTATGACAGTACTGTTTACTTTTCTTTTAAAATATTCGCAGTCAGGGACTGTTATAACAATATTGGAGTCATCGGTTTTAGCATTTCTTGTCTTGTTAATGCTTACTAGGTAACTGCAGTTATAATCTAACTCGTAGATATCAAACGAAGTTTCCTGAAAAAAAA